CAGGTCAAAGAAGTACACTGCTGAGGGGAGCAGCGGGCGGGTCAGGAGAGGTCTGCCACGCCATGTGGTCGCCTCCAGGGCAGGTGGGATTTAACTCATGTGGAAATGGCTTTAGCTTCTTAGTGCAGTGCTTTAACCCTCTGTGCCACCAGGGAGGGCCCTATAATTGCTTTTAAGGTAACTGAAACTTTCTTGGAACAAGACAAATATAAACAGAATTATTTAATTAATGTTGTATAAAAGCCAATTTGTTTTTATCATTTCCTGTGGAATCAAACAGAAAATATTCTTGTGTCTAATGCATTCAGGCCCACACAATGATTTAGAAATTCATCCTTTCATAGCTTATTCTTTTTGTTGTTGAGAAATAATTGCATTGTATAAACATAATTCATTCATTTACTAATGGACATTAGTGTTGTTTTTAATTTTTCACTATTATGAATAAGCCTGTCTAAGACAAATATTTTCATTTCTCCTTAGTAAATACCTAATAATCCAATGAATGGGTTATATAGTAAATTGTTAAATATATTTTATTTTATTTTACTTTGTTTTATTTATTTTTACATCATTCCATCTAAGAAAAGGTCAGACTGTTTTCCAAAGTGATTGTGACATCTTGTTTTACTATCAAAATATGTGAAATTTCAACTGAACCACCTACTTCTCAACATTTGATAACTTATGGTTTTAATTTTACTCATCCTAATGAGTACATAACGTTATTCTATTGTAGTGTTCATTTTTCCCAGTGACTAATGATACTGAGTATCTTAACACATACTTAGTGAACATTTGTAATATCTTCTTTCTCATAAAGGATCTGTTCAAATATTTTCATGTTTTATAATTGGGGTGTCTTATTATTGAGCTATAAGATTTCTTTATATATTCTGGATACAAACATTTAGTCATACAGATGCACTGCAAATGTTCTCTAAAGTCTTAATTTGAAAACAGTCTATTCATGACTGAATTTTGGATAAGACTGGTGAACTTTAGCGAGGAAGAAAAAAATCAATAGTATCTTGTAATTTTCCTTGCAATGGTATTTCATCTCCTTCATTACTTTGTTCTCAGGTATTTAATTTTGGGGGGCACAATTGTAAATGGGATGGTTTCCTTAATTTCTTCTTCTTCAAACTGTTGTTTGCATACAGAAAGGCTACTTATTTTTGTGTATCAAATTGTAACATGTTGTTTTGCTAAACTGGTTTATTGTTTTAATTCATTTTCCATGTGTCTTTTAGGGTTCTTTTTCATTAATTGTCATATCATCTGTGAAAAGAAAGACACAAGGAGGGCCTACCTGGTAGCACAGCAGGTTAAAGCACAGCACTAAGAAGTTAAAGCCACTTAAGCATGAGTTCGGTCCCCGCCCCAGAGGTGACCCACATGACACAGCAGACCTCTCCTGACCTGCCCACTGCTCCTCTCAGCAGTGTACTTCATCCATCTGCCTGTTCTACTCTCCACTCTGTCTCTGGTGAATCATCTTACTGCACCTGCGCCTCTGGCCTATACCCCAGTTCAGTATGCATAAATAAACAAATCTTCAAAGTAAAAAAAAAAAAGACACAAGGAAATGGAAAGACACCCCCGTTCATAGATCAGAAGAATTAACATCATCAAAATTAACATTCTATCTGAAGCAAATTATAGATTCAATGAAATTCTAATCAAAATATCAATGGCATCCTTCAAAGAAATGGAACAAATATTGCTGAAATTCCTATGTGACCACAAAGGACCCCTAATAGTCAAAGCCCTCCTGACTAACAGGGGGCAAAGTGGAGGTACTACACTCTCAGACTTAAAACTATACTACAAAGCCATAATAATAAAACCATGATACTGGAAAAACAGACAGACCAATAGAATCAAATGTATTTTTGTAAAGATTTATTTATTTATGCATACATAACTGGAAGAGGCCAGAGGTGCAGGGGTGGTGAGAGGATTCACCAGAGACAGAGTGGGGAGCAGAACAGGCAGATCAACAAAGTACACTGCTGAGGGGAGCAGTGGGTGGGTCAGGAGCAGGCTGCCACACCATGTGGGTCGCCTCTGGGGCTGGGGATCGAACTTGCACTGAAAGGGCTGCAGCTAGCTTGCAGTGCTGCATCCTAACCCACTGTGCCACCAGGGAGGACCCAGAATCAAATTTAAAGCCCAGAATCGAAACCATATCTATAAGGTCAATTAATATATCACAAAGGAGCAAATAATATATATTGGAACAAAGAAAGTCTCTTCATTAATTGTGCTGGAAAAACTGCAAAAGAATAAAATTAGACTACTATCTTGCACCATATACAAGCACCAATTCAAAATGATTAAAGAGTTGAATATAAGACCTGAAACCATAAAATATATAGAAGGAAACATACAGTCAAAACACTCCAAAGTATACACATCAAAGACATCTTGGTGACTCTTCTCCAGAAACAGACAAGGAAAACAAAAGAGAAAAAAAAAAAACAGCTGACAGTAACTGAAAAAACTTCTGCACAGTAAAAGACATTAACCAAAACAAAGAGACATCCCATGAAATAAGAGAATATATTTACACAACATGCAACTGATAAAGAGCTGATAGCAAAAATCTACCAAATGCTTACACAACGCAACAAAAACAAATCAAAACAACTCAGTCAAAAAATGGGCAGAAGAGCT